ATCACGATCTGGATCCGGGAGGTTATTTATGATAGTAAATACACATTAGTGTCTATTTTTAAATGTGGCCTATTGTGTCAGCTTGGTGGATCGGTTACAAAAAAAGAAGTCCTGCAGACCGTCATTACTACAACAACCAAAATATTTGTTAACCTACTGCGTCATACTGGAGCTCCTTCAGATGCGCCGCTATAATGCCTTCAGAGCTTGTTTAAGCACCACTGAGACCACCTTGATGATAAGTTCAGCCAATTTAAAAAGCCTATTAACATGTAATAAAGCCACGATGTTAAGGTTACTTAAAAACACTCAGGAGAACCACTGGAGCCTCTTCAAACACCACCAATGCCACGTGAAAAAATGCTTGAGAAACTTTTTTTTTTTTTTTAAAAAAACATTAAAAACAAGCTGAACCACAGAAACCACTTCAAGAAAGCCTAAACACTCTTCCTCCTCAACCTCAACCAGCACCTTTCTCTTTTCAGTGATCTCATTAGCATTAAAGTCTATTTTTACTTGATTTTTTGGTTTTTTGAGATGTGACATCTCCTGAATTCTGGGACAATAGAGATCTTGCAGTCCTATAGTCATACTAAAGAAACGGTGAAACTCCCTAAAGGACAAAAGAAACCTCTTTATGACCTCCCTGAAACTACTCAAGGATGGCTTAACCTTCTTCAAGGACCCTTTTGACATCCTGGAGGACTTTTTGAGGACCCTTTAAGCCTTTACAAATCCTGTATCTTAAGCTGGCTGACTATTTTTCTAGCCTTAATGTTTCCTGATGCAAATATATGTTGGCTTTATGTTGTGACTGTACCTGCTGAATTCAGTTACTTGTTAGCCTCTGGTGTAGACCACTCATGATTGGTATGAATTGAAGATATTTTTCAGTATGTGTGAGTATGATGAACAGGGTGTTGAGAGAGTGGTCTTAATTCTGTCCTTCTGTCCTCTGAGATCTGGTTACAACACACACACAGTAACCCTTCTCCCTTACACTAAGTTGCTGTTCTAAGAAGCTGCTAAAAATACTGATCTAAACATCTGCTACTGCACTCCCATGGAAACACTTCATAAACCAGCATGAAAACTGGCCAACAGCAAACTAATGAGCCAGTCAGCTTTATTTCAGGCTGTTGGTGATGCGGTACTAGCTGTAAACAAACACGCAAAAAGTTTCCTTACAAGATTCTTTAAATAAACTATTTCCATTCGCAGCGTGCAACTTTGCAAAGTGGGACAAGCAACAAAAAGCTGACAAGTTGAGACGCTTCAAACTGGAGCTGGCAGGTTTGCACCTGTCTTATAATAACACTGACCAATTTAGACTGGCGCCTAATATAAAAGTGACTGACGGAAAGTCACTTAGTCACTTAGTCTGACACTGAAATTGTAACCAGAGAAATCATGAGATAAAGAGAAATAGAAATCTATGAGGGAATTTTGTAACATTTCTGCCCCGTCACCAAAACGTCCAATCAACAGTTGAGCCAACTGTGTTGCTGCACTGATGCATGTGCACAGCACAGGTTCAGAACTGTTTAAACTCTGTGGTGGCAGGATACATATGCTCCCTGTGGTGGTTAGATATGCTTGCCATTTGCAGCAAAGACATTGTTTTTCTTGGCTGACCATATTCAGAATTTAAATTAGCACGGCATTTGTTGAACGCTTCAGCCATAAAGATGGACCGTGTTGGCACTGAGAATTGAGCTTCAAATTAAGTCATAATGTCTTGTAGCCGTGTATATGATATCTTGCAATGGTTTTTAACCTGATTTGGCTGGCGTCTCAGTAGATGCAACTTTTATGTCCCAGTAAATACAAAAATTAAAGATATGATTCTCTGGCCTTTAAAAATAACTACCCATATAACGCCCCAGAGGTGTGACCAAAATGGCTGTCAAATGGCAAATACTCTGAATTGCCAAGACTTACACAGAAGACTTACCACCTACCACTTTGGAATGGCCTAAAACTGGAACCTAACTAACTAAGCAAATTAGAGCAGTCTAACACTAGAACTGGATCTGAGTGGTTAAACCAGTAAAAGTGGAACTGCCCAGTTTGGTTGGATACTTGAACCTACCAGCTAAATCCACTCCAGAAAGCACCAAAGGTCATCTGCACTTCTTGGTAAAATAGACTGTGATTTCTTGTAGGTATGGAGAGCTAATTAATAACACTCAAGTCAGCCAGGGATACAGAGTGGGTCTCAATCACAAACAGCGTATATGCATATGTGTGTGTTCATGCATATAAACTTTTGATGAAAACTAGTTGGTCTTATAAAATGTAAACACACCTCTTCAAACTTCTACGACTACTACAAATAATAATACTGATGGGAGGAAGAAAAAGAAGACGAAAACGTGAGCAATGTGAGGAAAAAAAGTAGTCTGTTACTCTATTTTTAATCTCAACTTTGATATCAAAATTCTTCTTTTCTTCACTTGAGACACAATGAATGTCTCAGGTTAAACAATAATTGACAGTTATTTATTAAGTTTATTCACAGTCTTGAGAAAACAGAAGGCGTGCAGCTCATTATATGTTGCTACTGTTTCGTTTTCTTGAGCTGCTTTATCAGCTTTGAACTTCCCTCCTTTCTTCTCTACACCTTCAGCTACATGCCAGCTAGCTAGGTAGCAATTCTAGTGTCAAACTCTCTGCAAAGTGAGGGACAAAAGGAAGAAACAGCTCCAGTAAATCCATACTTACAGCGTATTATTGGCTTGAGGCCAAAGGACTCTGTGAATAATAAAATTGTAACTAAGCTAACAGGAAAGTCAGAAAGCTGAAACCACCCACACACTTCTGAAAGAAGCTGTTGTCATCAAAAATAAATCAAATATTCTGTGTGGGTACACTATGATTGGAGGGTGCTAGTGAGATATGGTAGCTTCTTCTGTTCCACTCAAAGGTTAGAAATGTGCAGATCGCTCGCTATAGGTCAAAGGTGTACATTCAGGAATTCTCTTATCCTCTAATTAGAGCAATAGCACTGAAGTTACAAAATTCCTGTCTTAAATTCCTGTAGAAATCACACCATGTCAGAGCTCCAAACATTTTAAATGATCAAAGCGTCTCTCCTGGCGTGTCCTTTGCTGACATCAGCAGCTGCTGAGATTAAGCTGCCTATAAACGGATTCTGATCCTTTATTCATTTGTAGCATCCAGCTTCCTGCTGGTCAGCCGAGTTTCCCCGTACAGCAGTGAGATTTATGGCTCTGGCTGCAGTCAAGGTCATCTCTGGCATTCACACCTCTCACACACACATCCA